TGATTTTGAGATTATGATTATACATTTGATTTTATTAGTTTTTCAAGTAGATCTCATCATTCTTCTCCCAAAACTTTTTACAGATTCAAAATCAGATGAAATTTTTTTTTTTTTTATGGAGGCTCAAAGTTGCGATTTTTGACTTTTCGCGGAAGAAAGGTTTTTCCACGCCTTGAAAAACTCATTTTTGGTGTTTCTTGCGATGTCATATTTCATTTCATAGCAAACCTATCAAAAATGTAGATGTAAATTCATGAAATACAACTTTAAGGCTAATTATGTTTCGATTTCACATTTTTGTAACAATTACTCTGATTTCCCAAGCAACTCCAAAATACATAGGTTTTCTCAAAAATTATATTTTGTCAAAGTGATTTTGGTCAATTTTTTCATCAAAAATTGTCTTGTTCATGTTATATCTGAAATATTGAACCTGGTTGTTATGCATTTTAAAATCAGTAGCTATCAAGTAAGATTAACAGGAAAAAAAGAAAAAAATATTCATATGCCTTCTCTCAAGAGCAGGATATATGTTCATTTTTGAACAATTTTCCGCGGGAGCAAATTGCCTATTTTTGGGGCATTTTTTGGACATTAATAAAATAAGAAGGAATGGAGATACATAAGTGAAATTATGTGAACATTTCAAAAAGTTTGTGAATTTTTAAAATAACATACTACTAATAAGCCATATATTATCAATTTTGGTGGTCATAGCAACCAAAATAGAAAAAAATGCAATTTTCAACCATTTTCAATGCCATTTACCATAACCCAAAAGGTGATCTCCACATTTTAAAGAAAGCAATTTAAAATATTTGAAACCCATGCAATATCAAATTATATGGATTCTGTAAGTTTGAGAAAAATATGAAGGAGTTTGAGTTGTTACCATAGCAACCACAGTTATTTTTTTTCCAAAAAGCATTATTTTCCAATATTTATGACATCAATATTGATAATTGTATTATCTTAAAATCAGAAGCTATCAGGCAAGATTTTAAAAAATTAATAAAATCAAAATATTTTTATGTCTTCTCTCAACAGCAGGAAAGGGGTTCACTTTTGAAAAACATTCCTCAGTAGCAAATTGCCCATTTTGGTCGTTATGGCGTTATTACGACATAAATAAAATATGAAGGAATTGAGATATTGACATGAAATTTTGTTTACAAGTAAATGTGATTGTGAATTTTTAAAATCACATGTCTTTACTCTTGTATATTACTTAATATTTGGATGTTATAGTACCGGTAACCAAAACGAAAAACAAACCAACATTTTCATCAATGTGAATATCAAATCAACAAGGCCTTAAGGCCCTACGTTTGTCGGTAATTTCAATTTGTTTAACTGGCCAATAAATATAGAGCCCCTATAATTAGGTGTTCAATATATTTACCAAAAAAAACAAAGAATTAAAATTATAATAATCAGTATGACATCTATAATGCTAAATTATTTAATAAAATGTTTTGCGATAATTGGTATACGTATCGACATGACTGACCTAATTCTATCTATGTCGGTTCCATCATCTCAACCTCAATGCCTCAAACGAAAAATCCAGAATCTGTGCCATTTTTTAAATTATTCTTAGCTAGCGTTAATTCTTTTGTTGTTCCAGCTTTATTTGGGTATAATTCCCTTTTAAGTGGATAGAAATCGTATGTATTAGCCGTATTAAGTTGTCTTCCCTCACAGCTGCAGAATGTAATAATGGCTCTCCGAGGCCCGTGTTGATATTTTCTGGTTTCAATTCCATTCATGTGCAGAGTTAATGCTTTAAAATAGGCATGAATAATTCACCGAACAACAAATTTTTTATTCCAGAACATTGAAATACTCAACCCCATTTCATTTTATTTCATTTCATTTCACATTGAAATACTCGTCAATGCTACGGAATATTTCAATTCTTGTTGAAAAACATTTTGTGTTAAATGTAAAGACGTGTTGTAGCTGGGAGAAAATTTCCTTCAGTGTAGCAGCGCGGGAATATGAGTCACGTGATGTCAACACAGTCGCCCTTGCAAAAGGCGTGAAAATAAATGGAATTAACAATTTTTGGGCAAGTCCTTTATTCATATAACATAACGCTTACTTCATAAATGAACATTCAGTTGCATTTCAACGTAATTTACCGTGAATATGGGTATTGGGAACTTCAAATATAGTTTTTCTTCGCGGGGTGTCTTATGACGTCATAACACGAAACACTACAAGGTTTATTCGTACACAAAAAGTCACGTTGTATACCATTTTCAAGTGTTTGGCGGACGGCGGCAGCACTTAACATGCTCTGATTTTATTAGCATCGGAACGGCAATAAAACAAACTTTCGATCGATCGGGGGTGGAATCTTGACAAATTGCCTCATAAAAAGTGAGCGTGAATTGTTTTTTCAACTTGAAAAGTATACATCGTATTTTTAAATGCCAACATTCCACCCCGACCGATCGAAAGGTAGTTCAAATATCTTTCTAATGGTATCAAAATGAAAAAAATATATTAATAATAACAACTGCCGCCGAGCACTTGAAATGGGGTACCCTCCGTTTCAAAACGCGACAAAATTTTTTACCGTAACATCAAAACACGCAAAATTGACGTTTTTCAACTTACGTTTATGAAATTAATAATATGATCAGGTTCATAAAAAATATGTGACGTTAAGTTTAAACCAGCGGCTGCCAGGCAGGATACACCCACATTTTCGAGAGATGGATAGAGAACAAGCTAACAAGAAAGTGATTTTTCCTACAATCAAGGGCCATAATTCAGGAAATTACAATTCGATATGCGCAAATTTCGAAAGGAACCGAGATCTTTGGGTTATAAACTTTCATTTCAAGTTTCAACAAAATCGGATAAAAATTGTGACCTCTATAGGGTCCACAACATTGATATACCATATTTTTACGCTATTTGAGAATGAACGGCAGCCATTTTGTCTTTCAATTTTGGGTCGATTTTCACGAAATTCGAACTCAGCCATCCTTAGGGTGTAACGGTTAATACGTTTTTTTAAATCGGATACAAATTATGACCTCTATAGGGTCCACAAGCTAAAAACGCGATTTTTAGTATAATCAGGGGCCATAATTCAGGAAGTTACGGTCCGATATGCGCAAATATTAAGAGGAACCAAGATCTTTGGGTTATAAACTTACATTTCAAGTTTCAACAAAATCGGATAAAAATTGTGACCTCTATAGGGTCCACAACCTTGATATACCATATTTTTACGCTATTTGAGAACGAACGGCGGCCATTTTGTCTGTCAATTTTGGGCCGATTTTCACGAAATTCGAACTCTGACATAATAATACGTTTTTTTAAATCGGATAAAAATTATGACCTCTATAGGGTCCACAAGCTAAAAATGCGATTTTTCGTACGATCAGGGGCCATAATTCAGGAAGTTACGGTCCGATATGCGCGAATATCGAAAGGAACCGAGATCTTTGGGTAATCAACTTACATTTCAAGTTTCAACGAAATCGGATAAAAATTGTGACCTCTATAGTGTCCACAAGCTAAAAACGTGATTTTCCGTACAAACAGGGCCATAATCCATGAAGTTTCGATCCGATAGATGCCAATATCGAAAGCAGTCGAGATCTTTTGGAGATAAACCTATATTTGAAGTTTCGTCAAAATCGGGTAAGAATTGTGACCTGTAGAGTGTCCACAAACAAATTGTGGACGGACGTCCGGACCGAGGCGACGACATGTGGACGTATAAAAAGGTTACAAATTGGGAAAAAAACACTTTCTTCCAACGTGAGCAATGGAGTTGTGACACCTATTCATATGCTTCCAAACTGAAAATATAAAAAGAAATGAAAGGTAAAAACATGCAATCAAAAAGAACAGACAAAATAGTTAAGAATTAACATTTTTCCAGTTTTCTTGGATTTTTTAGCTGCTATTTTTAAACCAGTCTCTTGTGCATGATTTATCAGCAAAAATAATATTTGAAATTCTATTTCTTCTCTATTACATGTATTATAACGTTTCTAAGTATGATTAAAATTAATGTAATGAACTGATATGGTATGTTGCCAGGTCACATTTTTCTGGCCTAAATGGAACGATAGGCCTACATTACAAAAAGACTTGTAAGAAAGGGTCAGGACGATTTGCCTAATAGGCTTCCAACCCAATACTACCACATATACTACCTTTATTATTGTGAAAAACTGACAGAATACTTCTATTATATGAAATAAAATTTAGTTAATTCGCGGAAAACTTCAGCTACTCGATCAGTCTAGGCCTAGCGGTACATAACATAGGTCTAAGAAAGCTAAACAGACTTACAAGTTTAATATTTATCGTACATTTTTGGCTAGTTTTCCGTGTATTAATTGATTTTTAAAAAAAATATAATTAAAGTGTTCTCTTTGTTTTTAACAATAATAAGGTAATATGTGGTGGTATCTGGCAGTATTATGTTAGTATTGGGTAAATCGTCCAGCCGTCAAAAAGTAAACAAAAAAGGCCTATTAAATACTAACCGATCGATCAACTCCTGTTTACGGCCTGATAACATGGCACCCCTTCTGCTTAATTCTTTTCTTAAAACCGTGATGTTCGAAGAACCAACCTTCGAAGTTTCACCAATGAATTCCATTGCAAAAGATGTAAGAAACGTAACAGTAACTGTGTGAAATACTGACTTCTGCTTTGCAATGGCGTAAACAAAAAGTCACGTGGAACCAGGTTAATGGTGGCGCCTCCTATTAATTACCTCCCTTTATCGCCAGCGAGGACGCTCGTTGTGGACAGACGGAAAGGCGCGACGACAATATACGTCCACATGAAAATGTGGGTGTATAAAAATGCCAAGATCAAAGTTTAGATCGTCTTGAGACTAACACAGTAATTTTGAAAGAAATATGGAAATGGCCGCAACAAATTTGAAATGAAAAGACAATACATTTAACAACATTAATAACAATGAAAATGTAGCATATAAGATGCAGGATATTTACCAGAGAAATTCCTGAGCATCATGTTGAGAATGACCTTTAAAGACAGGTATACGATTCCACACTGTATGTAGGAAAGCATGAGGACTAACCTGCGCCCATTTACCAGACCACAAAACACGCAGTAAACCGTGTATTTCTTGCCACAAAGACCTAGAGTACATTCAAATAATATATTTGTTTTTTAAAGAATAATGTTGGTGTCAGTCAATATTACATATAATAGAACTGGTTAATAAACACATCCCAACTATAATTTTAACACAGGGATCATTACTACTGTAGTTGCGTAACGATCATTTGAAGAAACAAGTTTTCCGTATATAACTGACTGATGCAGGGCTAGAAATTCATCATTTTTTGCAAGAATCTAAGAGGATTCCCATACATGGAATCTGAACGAATAATCCGAATCTTAATTAATAATACTGTCTAAAAAACAAAATTGTGTTTATTGTGTTAATCTAAAACACCAAATTACAACAACAATGATACAAAAAAATCCCAATCAAATGAAGTTTTTGGTAAACACTTAAAGTTAAATTGTGTCAAAAGTAATATCCAGAAAATGCCGTAGTCAAAATAAGCTGATACAACACCATGGCATTTCTTCATAGCACAACTTGTAGTCTTTTGTCCATCACGTAACTAGTCACATAACTTGCAAAAGTTTTAATTCATTCGTCGATGATAGACAAACGACACAATGATCACGTGACAACCATAACTGAAATTGCTATAAAATAAAATTCTGTATGACTATGATATAGCCTTCAATAATATTTTTAAAATTAAGCCTCTGTCAGCATGTATATAAAATAAAAAAATTGTAACAGTAAACGCTATTTAGAACTGGTTTATTTACCTAATTCCAACCAATATGTCACATGGCATTGGAATTTGGCATTCGAGATTCTGTTGGGAAAATATCCACTGTTTCTCTCTGTGTGTATTTGGTGTTCTATCAGGGGATTATATTCAATGAAGATTTAAATTTACCTAACAACTGGTCAGTGAATCCATCAATGTATGATCCAGTTATTATTTTAATGTTTACCGGTACCTGGAATTCACACGAACGGAGCATGGAAGATGCGCGATTCGTTAACCATACCGAGATTGTCTTCATTCTCGTGGCGTATTTTACTGAACCTATTTATGAATTATCAGCAAACTTGTTTTGTTTTTTTACCGGATTATCAAAATCACCGTTAAATGTGCTAATTACTCGGATTATGAACCACATATGGCCGATTCTCACTAAGGTATGACTGTTGTTGTAGCCGACACTTCTTTATTAACAAGTAATAATTAACACATAATATTAGCCAAAAGCTTTAAATTGATTTATGATACATGTACCATGTGGCTGATTCATTGTTTTACCAATCGGCTATATTAAACATCAATCGGCTAAATCCCAGAAAACACAGCCGATTAAGAACACTGACCCTGACTGACATTCAACAGTTGGGCTTGACAATTCTCCGAGATTTTTTTTTCTTCTAAGATTCCTTGCGCGAATAAAGATTAGGAGATTTGCGAGAATTTCTAGCCCTGGTGATATACGGTCAATTTTCAGCTCCAAGGGTTAAAAATATTTCAGTTTGCCCAAACCCGACTCATGATGATTATGGGTAGGTAAGTAGGCAAATTCTTTTTTTTTTTTGGGGGGGGGGGGGAGGACCAGACTTTGAGAACTAAATGCAAAAATAAAACAATATTTAAACTCTAACTTTATTAATGAGAACAGTACAACACAACACATTGTTATTAATGACTAGAACACTGGTTGTAAACCAGAAAATAATGCTAAAAAAATACCACCATTCTTTGTACACTTTAACTCATTTGACATCATTAAATCAAAATATGTTTTTTCTGTGGCATTGACAGAAATGGATGCGTCTACGTTGTTATTCTCATTTTCATCAGAGGAATGTCTGTTAACAGTAAACGTCGCAAACTTTAACATGTTGTCTAATGCCTGGACAACTTGAATCAGCACATTCATATCAGGTTCAAAAGTTTGTATTCCACCCCATTCTGAACATCTGAGACACGCTACATGCGGAAAAGTATCTCAAACACAGTCAATAGCCATGATATCCATATCATGTGATCTACACATCACAGGTCATGACATTGACGTCAATGGGTCATGAGGTCAACAACACGTTACATTGTAAACAAAAGGTTTATCTTCAGCATTGTTTCCTTTGCACCCATAAAGACTATATAATTCGTCCAGTCCCAACATGTTCTCTCTTCTTCCAATGATTTTTCACAAAAATAACATCTACAACTCATAGAATTGACGTCGTCTTCAATGACAGCGTCTGCGAATGGTTGTTCATAGAGGCTGCCATCTTGGCACTATTTTGTGCGTCGGTCGTGTCTATTTCAGATATACACAATCAATTCTGTTGATGTTTTTAGCGTTGGGATTGACTAATAGTTAATTTATTTCAGTTCTAAAACAAATATTTTAAACTTTAACGCAAATTTAGAAAATAGCCAAATTCTGGCTGGGATTACTGAGCAAAATGGCCATTCACTGTATATGTGCGAAAAAAAAGCTAGCCACCAATTAATTTTCGTACGTTACTTACGTCTTACTCCAGCCACAGTAGTGGACCGTCCTAAGGCCTTCCTTTGCGCAAGTTTTGTAGTCGTTTGACTACAAAAAAGTTACTGGCCTATAACACCCTTAATTTCCGATTACACTGACCCCAAACTGTTCTGCACATAGCTTAACATATAATAAACCAAGTCCCATTGAAATAAAGGTGAAACCTTACCGCATAATTATATGATTTGATTTAACCCAACTGCAATGCGTAATTTTTGTTTAGTTAAAATGGTCGCCATACCAGAATCATGTGATATTATATCACTCGAAAATACAGAAAAACTGTTAGGTATGATAAGATTAAGATTTCTGTGTCCCACTCGTCACTATTTGTAACATAATCACTTGTTTCCATGCAAACTATGATGATATGTGTTGAAAATTTTGCAACTTATTAGGTTAAAACCTAATTTTACATGCGCAAAGAGTCGAATAGTGTATCAATTGCAGACGTAGATAAGAATTATCTCGGCTGAAAATTGCAGCTAATTCCAACCCTGTCTGTTGAAACAGTCACAACCATTTTGTCCGTTGTCTTCGTGTCTATTTCATCAACAGTGACATCATCAAAGACGTCCCTCCATGTCTTACTGTTGTTAATTCGCTGCAACTTGTTCGAAACGATTGGTTTTACTTTATTTTCAGTTTTTATCACTCCCGAAGACGACAGTGTAAAGTTATTGTCCGCCATGACACATACCGTTCCTTAACAACAACTATCGCGATAAATAACAGGATTTTACGAAATCACGTGTCGAGTTTGGTGTTAATATGTATAGACATGACAGTGGCTGTTCAATCTCCCGACTGATTATTTCGCGTTTGGGTGTCATTGTCAAGCATAAAAATAATGCTGTTAAGAAAAAAAAAAATCTTCAAAAACAGCAATAAAAGAATTTGACTCGGCAGCTTTTTTTTGGGTCGGTCGCGTTTGGGCAAACAGACAATCTTTTAATTTTGGCCTAGGTGACCCTATTCCATCCTTGCAACATATTAACATGACATGGCACTAGACAAGATCTGATGTAGACCACTTTCCCAGCCCCAGCCCCACCCACAGCAAATTTAAACATATCTCTTTTTTGTCAATTGCAAGAAGTGAGGAAAATCGAACAGTCAAAAGGCCCAACCTCCATGTACAGAAAATGATATTTTCTTTCCAGTCTACTTACATGTTATTAAGATGAAAAGAAGAATGTAGCTGAACACTAGATGAAGGAAAACCTCCTCCTCCAATCAATCCACCTTTATTCCTACTTTCACATGGACTATTTACTGGTTTACTTAAATGCTGAAACAAAAATAAGAATGAAAAAAAATATATTCATTATATACTTGTCTGCCATGACAACTACAAACTGTGAAACTGTCACCAATTTACTCTAACAGTAACAGTTGTGGGTTGCCAGTGATTGTTTACACCACACTTTTATGCTGCACAATGGGCGTCCTCGCTAGAGATAAAGGGGTATAATTTATAGGTGACACCATAGAGGAGGCGGTCCCACGTGACCTTATGGTTTACCTTACAGCATCGTTTTCCTGTACATTCATTACAACCTGGTGTGTTGACAAACGTTAGTTTTTGTCGTTAATATGAAATTTAATCCCGATACGTTGAAATACGGTGCTCTTACCATCGATAAGGTCACGTTGAACCGCATTTTTACTAGCGACGCCTGGTGGGAATTCCTTCACCGAGGACACCCATTCCTTTTCTTGTTGAGAATAGTAATCAAAACAAGTATTATAATATACCTGAAAGTAATCTGAAGTATTAAGTCTATGATTAGTTCGTGTTGATGGTTTATAAGGCATTTTTTCTTTTCTAGCAGACGGTGTACCTACTGGACTCCACACATTACTAAAATCTAAATCCAAAATGAAGTCTCGAAATTCATCTAAATGTCTGCAATAACAACATCAACTAATATTATCTTTTAAGAGCCACTTTCTGTAAGATTCAGGCAAGGCCCTTAAGTGACCACCTTCAAATTCTCTAATTTTTCAACATAATGTACCATTTAGTACTACAATCACAATTCTAAAAAAAAAATCCTTAATTTTTGTCGGTTGCCGAGATATGGGAGCTTGAAAATTGACCCAAATTTTCAAAAACAGCTTTTGGAGAACTTTAACTGAAAAATTACAACAAAGTACATGGTTACCCATAGGTTATTTGGGTGGTTCTTGTTAACTGCTATGAGTAGAGATGAAAAATAGTGAAAAACCTGTGGGATACCTTTGGCTTACCAAAGTGTCATGGCTCAAAAGTGCGCGAAAATGAATTTTCGAGCTTTTTTCAATGGTCATTTTTTCCAAAAGCCTTGGGTATCCCATAATTTTCTTTTGTGATATTGCAAGACTACCTACATAATGTCTCTAAAATGCAAAAACATTCATGGGACAGTAAAGGCTTTTGGATATATTTCAATTCAAAAATAATTTTTGTGTCCATTTTAACACTCTTTGTAGCCCCATAATGGCTGATGCCCCGCGTTTACAAAAAAAACAAAACACTAAAATTAAACCTAAAACATAAAAATATTATTTTTTAAGGAGAAACCTATGGGATATTGACCTACTCCTTTAAAAAACTAATCTTTTGTAACATGTTTTTACAAAAAAAACCTTTACTTTAACCTTGAACTTGACTCTTTGGCCCACGTGACCTTGAGATGACCTTTTATTAAAAATTTAGCCCTACACAATATCAAATATTGAAGGCAAAATTTTAATTATTTGTCTGTAAATCAAGGACATTTCAATAGGAAATGAAATGAAGTGAATTGGGTTTAACGTCCTACTGTTTTGCTCCTAAACTGGGCTAGTGAAGACGAGCATACGCCATACAGTGTGCTATGAGGGACATTTTGCCAAGGGATCTTTTACGTTCACACCAATGTGTGCACAGAACCTCAGTTTTTTGTCCCATCCGAACGACTAGACAGCTGTCCTTATCGGGCCCTCTGTCCTGCATCACTGACAAGGGGGGACAACGCCGGAAAAATCTGGATGAACTTTGTCGGCCAATGCAGGGATCGAACACCCAACCTCCAGGCTAGCAAGCCAGCGCCTTACCCACCGTGATCCCCTCATTTCAATTTGAGAAACTTACTTGAATATTGTCAGTGATCCGTCCTGCATCACTGACAAGGGGAGACAACGCCGGAAAAATGTGGATGAACTTTGTCGGCCAATGCAGGGATCGAACACCCAACCTCCAGGCTAGCGAGCCAGCGCCTTACCCTCCGTGATCCCATCATTTCAATAGGAATAACTTACTTGAATATTGACCTACTTAGTTAATAATTAATATTTTATTATACCGAGGGTTTTTTAACTTTAAAAATAGCAGTGGACGCTTATAAGGCTAGTCTCCAGATCCACTCATATTTATACTTTTGCTATTTATTTCTTGCAATGTCTGTGGGTTTCAGTTTGTGTGGGGGGACTTTGACTTTGACATGCTTGTTATTTTGATGTCAATTTGGAAAATTGTCAGCGCCAAGTAGTCATATTATGTTTGTATGGCATGATGATACATGGAAGAAGAACGTTGCCAATATTATTTCAATGTAACCGCTGCAAAATGCTTATTTTTGTTTTACAGATTGCAATGTCACAGTGTTAAAATTCAATAATACAAAATACGGTATAATTGTTATTTTGCACATTACACTTCTCCGTTCTGCATTTTGCATTACTGACAAATCTCATTTGAATACAGAAAAAAGTCTGGACTAAGACGGAAATTAATAATTTAAGGTCAAGGTCAGTAGATGGAGGCCAAGATCAGACTGGCATACAATAAGTCACCATACAATATTCTGACTTGCCATGTAATAAGGGCAGCTGTCTAGTCATTCGGATGGGATAAAAAACGGAGGTCCTGTGTACACTTTGGTGTGCACATAAAAGTTCCGTTGGAATTCAATATAAGAGTAGGCTATAGCTCTGGTGCCCAGGCAAAATTTCTCTCATAACACACTGTATGCATATGGCTGTCTTCATTAGCCCATTGGAGCAGAACAGTAAGACTTGTCAGACCCTCCGTCCTACATCACTGACAAGGGGAAAAATAAATGCTCAAAGTCAAAGCCGGGTGGTACAAAACTATTAAATAACGGGGTAAAATACCTGCGGGGTAAATATATTGTGTTCCTTTTCACTAAAAAGCATGTATGTAAATAATTTTCTGGCGCATTTATATTTACATACATGTACCCTGAAAAAAAGATTATTAAAGTTGAAATGAAGGGTTTGGGTAGGTGGTATGAAGTAAAAATACAGGGCTTATAGAAGGGGCGGATTAGCTATACTGGGAGCATGATTTCATTGAAGTCATGGTCATTCAGCAAATGCTAGCTTGACTCGCCCTTATTGCTTGACAAGTCGACTTATATTGTACGATGACTTACATATCCCTGAAGCAATGGCCCGAGAAATCCCTCTTTGCCCATTGCTGGATTGGCTTCTGATACTTGAGTGTGTCTGTTCTTCCTGTTCAATCAAATCTATCCCAAGTACAGCCCGTCGTTTAATCTTAAAACTTTGGACAGTGATTTAAGGTATTAAAAATGGTGAAAATATTTTTCGTCTCCAAACAGTATTGTTTACATTGTATCCATGGTTATAGCCTCGTTTGTCACACAATTAGTTTTTCTTCAGTATTCTGTGATTCACTGGTTAATTGAGCATAATAAAATCTTGAGTCATGTTGTAACATTATGTAAACATATTTGGTCCAATTTGGAGCTCTGTTTATAGCGTAATGATATTGTAACGCAGTTAGCTATTGGTTGTTAATCGGACTATTGACAAGTCATAATTTGGAACAGAAATTTGCTTCCATTACAGCAGTGTTAAGTGGGATTAGCTCTAATCAAACAAAATACTGTGAGAAGTATGGGTGACTTATTGTATGCCTGCTTGATCTCGGCCCCCATTTATGTACCTTGACCTTGTAGATTGATCGCGTAAATTATTAATTTCCGTCCTAGTCCAGACTTTTTTCCGTGTGCGAATGAGATTCAGTAAAAAGGCATTTGTCTATAATGCAAAATGCAGAATCGAGAAGTGTAATGTGCAAAATAACTATTATACCATATTTTGTATTATTGAAAAGTGTATTCTGAATTTCAACACTGTGACATTGGTATTGTGGAGCAATAGAAATTGCAAATTGTAAAACTAAAATAGGTATTTTTAACTGCTGACATTTGCATTTTGCACTGGTAACATTGAAATAATATTGGTAACATTGAAATAATATTGGCAACAATATTCTTCCATAGGTAATGGGTCATCATGCCATACAATCATAATATGACTACTAACTGGCGTGGACTAATTTTCCAAATTGACAAATATTACAACAAGCATGTCAAAGTCACGCCATTTTACCTTATAGTAAATGTAGGAGGACCATGCCACACACAAACAGAAATCAACTAGACAAACCCACAGACATTGCAAGAAATAAATAGCAAAAGTATAAATATGAAATCAACTATGTGGATCCGGAGACTAGCCTTATAATAAAGCGTCCACTGCTATTTTTAAAGTTAAAAACCCCACGGTATAATAAAATATTAATTATTAACTAAGTAGGTCAATATTCAAGTAAGTTTCTCCTATTGAAATGTCCTTGATTTTACAGACAAATAATTAAAATTATACCTTCAATTTTTGATATTGTGTAGGGCTAAATTTTTAATAAAAGGTCATCTCAAGGTCATGTGGGCCACAGGGTCAAGTTCAAGGTCAAAGTAAAGTTTTTTTTTGTAAAACATGTGACAAAAGATTAGTTTTTTAAAGGAGTAGGTCAATATCCCATAGGTTTCTCCTTAAAAAATAATATTTTTTATGTTTTAGGTTTAATTTTAGTGTTTTGTTTTTTATATAAATGCGGGGCATCAGCCATTATGGGGCTACAAAGAGTGTTAAAATGGGCACAAAAATTATTTTTGAATTGAAATATATCCAAAAGCCTTTACTGTCCCTTGAATGTTTTTGTATTTTAGAGACATTATGTAGGTAGTCTTGTAATATCACAAAAGAAAATTATGGGATACCCAAGGCTTTTGGAGAAAATGACCATTGAAAAAAGTTTGAAAATTCATTTTCGCGCACTTTTGAGCCACGACACTTTGGTAAGCCAAAGGTATCCCACAGGTTTTTCACTATTTTTCATCTCTACTCATAGCAGTTAACAAGAACCACCCAAATAACCTATAGGTAACCATGTACTTTGTTGTAATTTTTCAGTTAAAGTTCTCCAAAAGCTGTTTTTTAAAATTTGGGTCAATTTTCAAGCTCTCATATCTCGGCAACCGACAAAAATAATGATTTTTTTTTTTTAGAATTGTGATTGTAGTACTAAATGGTACAATATGTTGAAAAATTAGAGAAATTGAAGGTGGTCACTAAAGAAAGTCTTGATTTTTGCCTGAATCTTACAGAAAGTGGCTCTTAAATTATTTCCACAAAGAGGACAAATCAGATTTAATATGCAACACTATCTCAAGAACATTCACGGTTCTATTTCAGTAACGTATCTCTACCAGTTCCTGTGATCGTAGAGTCTTGAAATTTTCAGGGGATATTCACAGGAACTGGCCATGACCTCACAACAAATGTCAGCCGAATCGGTCAATAACTTTTCATTTTATCATAGTTTAGCTTCTGCCAAGAGAAAAGTTTATCTGATTTTGACGCCATTTTATTTGTTGACTATTTAGACTCGAATAACAAGACACTAAGATGGGTTCCGACACACTGCGCTTCCTGCCTAACGCTGCCTAACAACAATTTTCGCATATTTTAATTTTTATACGCCCACATGGAAATTGGTCGTATATTGCTGTCGCTCCCGTCCATCCGTCTGTTGGTTGGTCGGTCCGTCCG